TAACGTTTGATATTCTATCTTATTGATTATGGTTGTGCTCTAGTCGCTCAAAGTTGAACGGTATCGTTACTCAAACATCCCGTCGAGGCCCCATTATGCTCCCCAGTGAATGGATTTTGTGTGGTAGTATTGGGATTGCGAAGTCTGATCTGATCGGATGATTTTTAGAATTCCCACACATGAGTTCATTCCAAGGTCAGCGATTCGATATTTCGGAAAAGCTCATGGCTCAAAATAGCTAGAAACCTTGGAATCGTGTATTTCAAACGATATATAACGTAAACACTAATTTAAAAAAAATGATTTTTTCCTTTATATGAACTTTAATCCAATACACAATACATTTTGTACTCATTTATTACATGACTAATCTGGTTTTCAGTTCGGTTTGACATATGTCGTTCCCAGGATTGCCGAAAACGTGTGTTGATAGAAAAATATATATGTTTTACATTTAAAAAAAAAAACTTCCTTATTTCTTTATTGACTTATTTATCCCTTATATTTCAACTCAGGCAGAATTCGTGAAAACGAGTTTTCTTTTGTTAACTTAGTGAGTCAATGATAATGGCCTTATCGAATTCAATAATAAATCCACATTTTCAAAAATAATCTTTTGTTATTAATTTGCATTTCATCGTTCTCTGATTCCCTTCGCCTTAATTAATTCCCTCTTTAATTCATTATAATTTACACATTTTTAACGGGGTGTCAAAATGTGACCGAGAAACATTGGCGTTCACTATCTCACAACGATAAAATTTGGATAAAACTCTTTCCCTCTTGTTAATCAGAAATGTAACTGAATGAAGAAAACGATTTTCTTAAATTTCAGTTCAGTACATCTGAACTCTTTAGGATGTTTACAATCTATTTAACAAAAGACGGTTTAAATGAACAAGAAATTCAAAGCCGATGACCCCACAACTTACGTATATATGGACAGGTGAAGTTGTGTACAATCTACAAAGGAAGACGGAAATGAAAAAGTTCTATTTAAAGACCGATGACCCCATAACATATCACAACAGAGAAGACATGAATTTCAGCGGGTCTTCTACCAGCGACACGATCTCCGTTGAATGCGAAATCTACGAATATCTGGGTGGAAGACTTGATCGTACCGCTACATGGGCGTATGTGCTGCTTATCTTCATAACAGTCGTCAACATAACAACATGTCCATTCATCATTATTTTGAACGTGCTGGTGATGATTGCTGTGAAGACCAAAGCCCGACTGAAAACTAACTCCAATATCACACTGTGCTGTTTAGCGTTCATTGATATGCTAGTGGGAATAATCGCCCAACCTGTTTTTGCCGCGGTCACGATATTAACCATGCAAGGTGAGACATCGAACAAACACTGCACGCTGCAACGATTATCGAGAATTGTGGTTAAGTCATTATGTGGAGCTTCATTCTGTCAACTTGCCCTGATTAGCGTGGAAAGGTATTTGGCCATTAAACACTCGTTCACTTACACAAGCCATGTTACTAAAGCTCGTATACTCGGCTTGTCTGCTGTGACTTGGATAAGCATAATGGTGCAGGCATGTATACCCTTTCTCATAACGGACGAGAACATTTTGTTGACGGTGAGTTATTTTCGCTTTCCCTTTCTTATGGCCATCATAGTCTTCTGCCACATTGCGGTTTACAGGGAAATTCGCCGCCACGAGAAGCAAATCGCAGCCCATCAAATATCAGAAGAAGCCAGGGAAAAATTCTTGAAGGAGGGAAAAGCTTTAAAGTTAACAACTACTGTACTTTTTATTCTGCTATTGTGCTATCTGCCATCAATTATTGTTCGAATACTACTTCAGACTTCTACCATAAATCGTGTAAAGACAGCTCATATTGCTTTTTTCACGACAAGCTTTGTAGCAATTCTCAATTCGTTGATAAATCCTGTTATTTACTGCGTTAGGATAAAGCACTTTCGAATTGCGTTCGTTGAAATATTACTCAGAAAAAACTACACACAGGCTGAACGGTTCCGATTGCGAGTCTTCGAAAGATCGACGAACATTGTGGTACCGCTTGAAGCAACACAGGAAGGGGAAGAACCACCAAACAATGAGCAAGAAAATGCGAACGATAACATTATTCACGGAAGCAACATAATGGCATCAATAGCAACATCATGAACAACCACTGGCACATGACGGTAGCTTGCGAATCTAGAAACAGCTAGCGCTATATAAGACTTAATTTATTATTATTGTTATTATTATTAGTACGCAAGCTATACTATACGCAGAATTAAGAACGGTGGCTGCCGAAAAATCAACAACGATATCAACAAATGAAAATAAGTAGTCAACTCTGAGATAAAACTTAAATGTTAAGTAAGTACTGAAGTAATTAATCCCGGGTCGGTCAGTCACTCATCACTCAAGTTTTAACTAACTGAACAGTTCTTGCACTAGAAGACCTACTACTTTCAATGATCAGAACTATAGAGTAATAATTTTTTGTTCCAATAGCAAAACTCAATGACAGCTGTTTCTGTTATTGTGCGGCCGCCATGTTGGTGTCCCTCGGAAGGGCACCAATATGGCGTCTCCATACAAAGCTCTATAAATTTGGGTGAAACACTTTTCGAAATAACGCGCGAATGAAAAACCGCAAAGATCTTAGCAAGGTTGTTTATATATCAATCCTCTATCATATCCCAGATTCTTAACTTAATTCATTGAATGGGTTACGATATTTATTTTTGATTGCGTGATATTGCAAACCAGCAATAGACTGCTAGACTTTCGTTTGTTCCTTAAAATTGATCTGGAAACAATTTGGTATAACTAATGGCAGTCAGGACCGAGCTGAACTACCGAAACGACACGATAATGGTCTTTTTCTACGCAAACAACAAAAAATTCGAGAATTCCGGGTTTAATTTGATGAGGGGTAGCACATTTTATTCAAAATGACACAACTTTTATCCTATCTGGCGACAGCGACCGATGAGTGAGGTGCCGAACGCTGAAGACCCATTTTGGCGCCAAATTAAAAGTTTGGAGACTCACATTTTTTTTTTTTTTTTTCACTTTTTACAATCTGATATAGCTTTTTTGAATTATATATCCCTTTTCGTGAATATTCAATGCCTTCACCGGTGAGAAAAGATGCCCGACTTCAATACCTTGCATCAGGACAGCACAGTTTTTCCTGCCTGCTGAATTCTCATTTCATTCTCAGTCAATTCAAATTTTAGTCGCACCGGCCGTCTGCAAGGCTATACTCAAAACGTAATGTTTCCACGGTTACCATATTTGGCCGACATGTTCTTACAACTTGAAAACTATTTTATTTCATGCAGGTATTTCAAAGTGTTTAGGGCTTTTCAACAATATTTCATTGATTTTGAATCGAACTTGACTCGATTTTTATCGTTTTATGACGTTTTTGGAAAATGAAGAAATCCAAGAGATTGCGTTCTAAAATGGTGGCTGATATCAATGCGTCATCAGCCTTAATTTTTCGCCATGGCAAGTATTCATTATTGCTGGATTACAAAATTCAAATTTTGAATATTCGCTTACAGAGTTGAAGCTGTACCAACTGGCCTGATATTAAAAGACAAACGCATGCCATGACACATTTAAATTGAAAAGAAACCTAAAAATAAATTAAAACTTCCCTGAAAATAACGCATTATGTAGGAATAAATTTGCTCACCCGAGAGTTTAAAGGAACTACGTTACGGTTTTTTTGAAAAATTCAGTCTAAATTTTTCAAGTATGCCGCCGTTTGCAATCCATGCAAATCTTCTCCATCCTTGTTCCTTTATAACTTATTATTATCTCTTTTGTGTTTTTCTGTCTTGGTTACCTACTATTTTCAGGTTCCTTTCAATTTAATGGTAATTTGTACGTGGTCAAAATACCGTGACTTAGCACCTTAAAAGTCAAACAATCCTTGACGCATTTTTAGGAAGGGTATTTATCAAACGAATAGTCTTTCAGAAAAGGATAACTTTTCATCATCTCCGTGACTCGCTTTATTTGCTCATCAGTCCAAACTACTTTGTCCCTCGTGATTGACGGCGTTCCGAACATGACTTTACTGCATTTTTCAAAGTAATCGTCCGAACACGTGACACCTAAATGGTCACACAATCTTTGTAGCGTTTCACGAGGTCTTAGCACTGTTTCGTGTGCTGGAATATCGAGAACTGCATCACTGTACCGTTCTCTGACGCGTTGATTTGAGGCAGCTAACTCAAAATATTGTCCAATGCTCCTTTCTAGGTAATTCTTGCGGTTTATCTGTCAGAAATGAAGCAGAGAACCAATAAATGCTTCATTGTTTTAAAGTGGTTTTAAGGAGGCTGGCAACAGTTTCCAGCACTTTTCTAACAGCTATACTTTGAAGGATGAATACCACCACTGTTTTTAAACAAGTGATGCTACAATAATGGTAAACTACAAATGTCTAGTCATTCGTAAACAAGTTTCAGTTATCCTTTTTATAAAACAGGCTACCATAACAATAATACAACCTTTTAAAAAAACCCGTAATTTTAGCTTTAAGCGCTTATAACATAAAAACGAGTTTGGTGACCCCCAGTTTTTTATCATCGAATTGTGAGAAGCATGATAAGATACAATTTTTCACAAAGTTTAAAAAAATCTGTAGAGAAGGTTCAGAGCCACCTTAAATTTTCGTAAATATAAGGTGGTTCTGAACCCTCTAAACCAGGCTTTTCCTTGTGGAAGCTTGGTAACCAGCGCGGTAGACTTCAAACCATGTGACCATTTTTTTGTCAACTTTGACCAGTCACAGCACACCTGCACATAGCTAACAAAGGTTAATAAAAACTTATCTATGAAACACTGAACTGGCTCAACAATATAAATAGTTAATTTTGTCTCTAACTACTTGAGCCGGAGGAAAAAGATCCCACTATAGTATTATTCACTCAACGTTCGTCACTCAACGCTCTGTGTCACGCAACGCTCTCTATCACGCAACATTCATTAGTGTTGTATACTATTAGGTGCTACACGTTAGTAGGGGACATAGTAAAGAAAACTCACTTTTTCTCCCGCTTCGAATTCTTTCGCAGCGTTACGTGAACATGATTTGAGAAGTGTCATGGTTGCTATGTTGTCAAAGGGGTTCCTGGTGACGTGGATGAATTTCATTGGTACTTGAACAAGTTGACTGATTTCTCCTAGTTCACTCATACTTCTCGGGTCCATTAGTATACCTGACGTAACACCTCCTTTTTTGTCTCCAATAACCTTTGGAGAACAAGACGTTATCAATTAAACAAAATTAACCAGAAACGTTGGAATGCGCGTTTTGACACAGAGGCCACAGGAGTACTACATTCCAAGGTACCTAGGACCGTTCACAAGTAATTGCTCAGAATATGCAAGGTATGTATAATGGAGACGCGGCGGCCTCATGGTTAAAAATCTCGCCTCTGGATCGAGCGATCCAGGTTCGAACCCTAGGGCCCGTTTCTCGAAAGCCCCGGAAACGTTTCGGACCCTCAAAGCCATTTTTAGTTAATGTGTATCTAAAAACAGAGAGGTGTGTACTCCTGAAACTTCTTGTATGGGGAGTAGGGCTAGGGTTAGAAATACTCCAAGTCGCTTGATGATACGGAAACCGGGGATAAGCGCTGGCTTGATAAGCCACTTGGCTCGAATATCGACTTCATCTACCTTACCTATATATACTACTTAAATGTCTATAATTGTCTTTTATTGTAAAAGGCACAAAACGTTATTCGTTTAATTATAACGTTACCTTAATTTTATTTTGATAACCTCCTTGCCACAAACCAGGCACGTGATATGTATACTTAGCAGTTAACTCTCCAGTAGGTTTAGTATTATTGAAGTTAGCGCGTATTCCAAACATAGCTTGTTTCATGGAGAGACGGTGAAGGTCATAAAATAAAGCATATTTCTGTAAATTGTTCTGTATAAGTTCTGGTGCCTGGTATTTTTTCCATCTTGTCATCAGATCGAACTCGCTCGGAATGATAATTTCTGGGTGGGCGTCCAATATGGCGCCCACTAAACTGTGACTGCTTCGTTGATATCCGATGAACATTACAAATGTCTCCACCCCATCGTACAATTTGAAAAGTTCCTCTGCTGGAGAAAGGAAATGCGACTCGGCTGAAAGAAACAGAAGCAACGTTTGTTCAGTGATCATGAATTACTATATCAAACACGGAAGAACGCGTTTGACCACATTTCTGAATACCGAGAAGAGAGTTGAAAATAGTACGCGCAGCGGAGTATTTTTGACGAGCTTCGAGGTGTCTGAAAATGTAGCCATGACGAAAAACTGTCTTGAGTGTTTGATATATCTTCTCAATCGAAACTAGAACTAACGAGAAAACGGAGATGACAAAATCCTAAAAATCTATGCTAATTAAGATCAGATATCCAAACATCGTCACGGCCAGTTGATACTTCGTTTAAATTCGATGAATTATTAATTATTTAGATGAATTATTAGTTGTTCATTAATTAGAACTGGAGGTAAGACTTTCATCTCACAAACTTCTTTATGGCTATTGTAAGCATTCGTTGTGAAGTTTGTGAAATGCTTCAGGAATTCAACACCTGATGCTTCTTGCCGTACAATTTCGATAAGTCCCCAGAATTCAACACATACGTCCAACGGCTTTAGGACAATCCCGATCCCTTTAGCTATAGTGAAGAAAGTGTAAATTAAATTTACCATTTTCTTTGGAGCGGATGGTGGGCTGTTTGCAAGACGTATCCTCGAAAATGGAGCTTCCACTGTTCTCGACTTTGACAAAGTAGAGAGCCAAGAACGAGCTTGCCAAGAGCCCGGTGAACAGCAGAGGAAACCATTTTCGTCTTAGAAGCATCTCAGTGGTCGTGAATCGATAACCTGAAAAATAATTGGCCCTGTAGATTTAAACGGGTCTTATTTAGACCATGTCAGCCTGCAGTGCAGGCGTTTTATTGGAACGGAACACTCGATGGACCAGGTTTTCGATGCCGCCATCTTGGATTGACCGGTAGAGGGCTCAGAGGAGAGGCACAGCCAAGGATTGCAACCGTGGACAGCTGTTTCGACTTGGTTGGGTCTCGTCAGCAAGGTGTAGCAGCTAAAAATAGAACAGCAAGCTCGAAGGCCAATTGTCTCCTAGACGCACATGGTAATGATCTCAGATGAAACTCAAATGCAAATGTTTGCTCTATCATGTCGATTTCCTGGTAGTAATCAGCCTTCCTTCATTGTTAACTAAGGTTTTAACTAGGGCCTCGCGACAAAATTCTGTACAAATGTTCACAATATATCGTTTTCCCACAAGTTATCGATCTGAGGTGGTTGTACCCAAGAAAAACAATGAATTCGTGATCGTCTTATTGTTTTAGCACTAGTCAGTTTTACAAAAAAAAACTTGCTAAGTTGCGTTTGGTTCAAGAAGCCGCACTGTAAAAACGCATTCTTTTGGAGGTAGACTAAGGGAATAATTTACTAGAATACATTTCTTACCTTTTCGTTGTTCGACAGTAGTGTGAAGTGTAACGCAGCGAGCGAGCGAACAGCAGTAAAAGAAATATTCTACATCTCTGTAAAATTATTTTAAAACATATTCACTTGTATCGCATGAAATATGCTAATTATTTTTCAAAAGGACGAGAAGGAACGATAACAAATGAAGAATAAAATCACTAAAAAAAAAAATCATAAAATTGGGCATGATATCTGCTAAAATCCCTTTTGTGGAAGGTAATAAATAATTTACAGTCGTGCATTTCAATATTCGTAGTGTTTAAGTTTTCTGTAATCAAATAGTTGCATGGAAACCTTTACTTCATGGTAAATATGTACTAGTCCCTCGTTGCTTCTTGTCTGTTACAGTGTGGCAATTATTTTCCGAAGCCGAAGGCTAAGGCAAATATTTCATCTGCGAGTCACTGACAAGTCACGATATCTTGCGATAACCGAGTTCAATAACTGTTTTATCACTCGATTACCAAGTCTGTTTTCATATTTAAATCACTCTCTGACAGCTAAAGGAAGCGATCTGCCATTTTTCGCTCAAGAGCGTGGTTACATGTTAAAATATAGGCTTTCTATTCTATTCTATTCTATTCTATTCTATTCTAAAATTACACATGAGCAGAATATTATTTGCAGCAAACCACATCTACACGGCACCGCTAGTAAGCAGACCATTAGATGTAGGCAGTTATTTGCAGGTCACGTGGTGGGCTCTCGGCTGATCAAAAGGGAGAAAAAATGTATTGAATGATAAATATCTCTTCACTTGACGGTTGTGCAAGTAGTTTGAACCAAAAGGTTCAAAAGGTCGGTGCACGGAACACATAAGCAAAGCATCATTTGACGGGTCTCAATGGAAAAGACTTGCGAGATTCACGAGCTGAAATTATCACTCGGTGGACGTTTTCCTCCGATGAAGGGAAGCAATAGTTAGAGCAACACTCAGACGTGTTCTAGGTGGAATCGTTAGGCGATGGGAGCTTTTGGGGCGAATTTAAGGCTATTTTCCCTCAGTCAATTTGCAAGGCTTCGGCTCTTGAGTTGCCTAACTTGAGGAATAATGATATGTAGAGAAGTAAACAGTGAAAACAAAACTCGCTGTTCAAAATCGGCGATTTGGAAAGACCCCAAAATGCCACGGAAACACTAGTAACACATAGAAANCATCAGCACATAACAGAAGGCTGACCTTATCTCTATTTGATAAATCGCCCTGCGATTTGACTGCGAGCAGTCTAATTACCCAGGCAGTGAGGCCTGGGTTTAAATTTCGGCTTTTTTTTTTTTTTTTTTTTTTCCAAAAAAAATTCCACTCGCGCTTGCTGGATATTAGATTATTATAGCCGACTCAGCGCTGCAAGCCTCGTTGACTATCTACCATCTCATATTCAACGCGCGCTCGTGGAATAATTGTTCACAGTTCTCTTGTTGTTCAATGTTCACGGCTCCCCAGGAGCTTGGGAGACCTGTGATGCAACAAGCAAAATGGCCTAACTCTGCTACATTTGAATGGTATGATAAGAGGGTAAGTTAGCAATGGTGAGTTACCAGTGGCGAGTTAATTTTCAAGATCCTTCCGGCAATATCTTGAATTTTCAATCTTTTCACTCAATCTTTTCCCCGGAAAGATCTTGAATATTCGATATTTTGCAGGCAAGATCTTGCATTTTCAAGACTTTTCCCGCAAGATCTTAATTGTCAACATTTTGACCTTGCAAATGGTTGACAGGCCTAACACGACCCCTATTGGTCAAAATAGGACAACTTCGACCTTCAAAGCTTTGTTCTAACGCGCGTGTTTTCCAAAGACCTCTCCTTTCTCAATGAAAGTCTTTGGTCTCTTCAACAGAGAATTTTAACGGGAGAAATAAGCAAGCCGCTAAGGAGAAGCAACACGTTTCCACTCTTAATTTATTTGAACCCTCTAAAACACACTAGTGTATTTTCTATTTATTTACTTATTTATTTATTTATTTTTCAGTACAGCAAATGACATTTTTGGAACCGAGCTAGGGCCAGATCATCGTCTGTTAGCTAGGACCTCCAAAATGATACGCAGTCAAATTAGCGTCAGCGTTCTTTGCACTAAGGTAGGGAGTGACTTAACCAGAAGTGTAACTGCTCTCCCCAGCCTAAATGAGAGTGCCGACTAGTATCACAGATATAAAAACACTGGGGAGTTTAAGTACCTACGACGTGAACGCCAAGGACAACGTCGAATTTATATTTTGCCTACGAATCTCGCGATACTCTAAAAGTTATTTAATCTGTTTCTCTTTGTCAAAACCGAATATGAAACACAGCGTATTTTTCGGAATATAAATTATAAAAATTATCCGTCGTGGTTCACGTTGTCCAGACAACGCAGAAATTGCTTAGTCATTTGACAAGGTTGTTTTGCAGAGGGCGGCAAAGAAGTGTACCAAGAATTATAATGCACGTGCCATTCATTGCTCATTACACCTTTTGTTTAGCGACGTTCCCGTTGCCCGGCGTTGTGGTTCTCTTAAACCCCTTACTGTCTGGCTCTGAGACGTGAACAACCTCGTACCTAGAATCTTTGTTCCTCTTAACCAGCGGTCGGAAAACGAGCGACCCTGGAAAGATCCGATCTGAAGTCCAAACATATCGGACTTCCGATTAAATTGCGCATGCCTCTATTTATAGAGGTTTAGGGGAACCGGCATGTTTGGCGGGAAAGAGAAAATCTTTATCTGTTTAGTCAGCTAAAAAGATAAGCTTGAACTTCTAATGTAAAACGAGTGTGTATCACATATTATGACCAAATCTTAACATACTCCTGGCCTCATTTCTGAGCAATACCAACGGTCTTCTCTGATCTCTGATAGTTGCCGTGCGAGCTATTTCAGTTTGGTAAGGGTATTATTTTGTCTTCTGAATCTTTTGTCGTAAGACAATGGTGATTAAAACAAGTAATTTCCCCTCGAATGGCCGGTCGAGGTAATCCGCAGAGATTCCAGCTCTCACAATGGATTGAACAGAATCCCGTAAGCTTTTCAAATTAGGAACGAGCACCTTTAACGAAAACTAGAGCTGCCTCTCTGACTACACCCTAGGCTATTTTGCCCATATTAATATGTACAACTAATACCGTTTCTTATTTTGCATTACTGAACGTACGATTTCATTATCGCTATCAGCGAAAACACCAAACCAAAGCCACCCGACAGGACTCCTACACAAACGATGAGCAAATTAATGACGTAACGCCTTGTGCTGATGTGATCAAGATGAAGAATGACGTCAAAAAGACACGGGAAAACTAGCGTGAGCAAAACACCTGATATACTGCCAATCACTGCCATCAACAACGAGAACTGTGGCAGCAACACTGCAACCATCACTGTGAAAATCACAAAGATCGCCCGCAATGAGTAGATCATGGCGCGTTCCTTAACGGTCAGCGGGTGTTTCTCGTCAGGGATGCATGGCGGGAGACACGAAAACTGGGCTTTGTGCACAATGGTTACGAGCGTGAACAAAGGAAGGGCATAAGAAAACATGCCGTTCAGTCCGAGGAGGGAGTTTGCCGTGTTTTGTAGAGCTCCTGCCGGTAGATTCTCAGAGATTTCTTGCTGAGTATTGTCCTTGAAGGTCAAGACTGCAATGAAGCCGTAAGTCAGTTTGGTCAGGGCTGACGCCAGGAAGGAATAGTTCATGATGCTGTTAAACTCCTCTGGTTTCTCCATGCTTTCTTCGATGCCTGGTAAATACGGATGGCAAACAAAACTGAAGAGAATGATACCCCAAGCCACGGGGAAGCCCTCCAGCGTTGTCACGCCAAGGTTGAAATCCCATTCGTAACGCTTTGTCACGCCATACCCAATGACCGACACAAAAACCATCACGAGTGCTACGACACTAAACATGCTGAGCCAAGAGATGCGTTTGAACTGATTCAGGAACACTGAAGGCAGGAGAAGAAAGCCAGCGATGATGATCCACAGGGAGTAGGACAGAGAGTGGTGCTCGAACAAGTCGTTAAAAAAGTCCGCCACAAGTAAGAGGTACAGCACGCACGCGCACGCGAGTTGCATCACCTGGGCTGCCCACACGACCGCTGAACCGTGCTTTTTCCAACAGGCCTGACCTGAAATGTAAGGTATAAATAATTAAACAGGGATGAGAGGCAACAAACAAACAAACAGGCGATAAATACGAACAAATGAGTGACTGACTTATTGCCTTAACCGACTGGTTGACTTATTGACTAGTCAACAGCAGACAGACACACAAACAGACAGACAGTCGGACAGATAGACAAACTGGCTCAGAGACTAATTATAATTGACTAACTGAGTCGGCTTACTAGCCAATAGCAGACAAGCAGACAGACAGATATGCAGACAGAGGGACAGTGAGGCAGACAGACAGACAGACAGACAGATAGACAAGCAGACAGACAGGCAGACAGCATGAAATAATTTGATTGACCGACCGAATGATGAGGATGGTGTTTTCTAAGGTACTATGTACAGAAAAACCTGGTTTTTGTTTAGTACACAGAAATGGATGTCAGGGAAGTTTGACTATGACCTGCACCACCAAGAGAAAATGAGCATGGTCTCTTGGCACCACGTAATCTTGAGCAACAACAACAACAACAACAACAACAACATTATTTTGAAGCTGACAGCCGCTTACCTATCAAGGCGTAGCTATTCCTAAGGCGGACTCCACGTGTACCCTGATCACTAAATGGCTTCTCATACAAACACTCGACGATGAGTTTGCCAGTGTAGTTAGTGATTATCGAGACGATGACAATGGCTACCAACGACATGTATCCACCTTGCATGACAGCAAACGGAACGCCAAGGGTGCCTGTACCTGGACATTGAGAATGAAGTAAGTAAAAAAAAAAAATACTCATAAAATTATCTCTGAAGTTATCTCGCTGTGGGAGAGACAAGGGCAGGGTAGGGAGACGGGTGGGTGAGACAGGAGCACTGAGGAACTAAGATTTTGCTTCCGGCAAACTTTAAACGCAAAGTGAGTCGAGTCGTCTAAATTTGTAGTCGACTTGACTTAACGGAAGTTATATGGTGAAGAACAGAATCTAGTCCTCTATAGCATTGTGGTGTTCTCTACTATGTCGTGGTGTATAAAGAGATGGTTACGGCCGAGCAGGTGACAAGTCGACACGAGTTGATACAACTAGGCTTCTGGAATAGTCCAGTGCACAACGTAATTATTGGTATAATACCACCTTGTAGGCGTTGTGGAGGAAGGTAGAGGATGAGGTCAAGTCGTGACTAGTAGACACGACTTATTCCCTTTTAAAAACGTATTATTTGGCTGCACACGTTCATAGAACGAAGTGTATATTGAATAAGTTCTTTTGGGTTTTGTCGATGATTTTTAATCGCGCGTAGTTCTTTTTGTATCTATGAGCCTTTTGCTTAAAACGTCTCACTTATCTGAAGCGTAATCACTTGTCTACACGTGCTTATAAAACTGGGTACACCCGTTACATAGGTTTTTTTTTTGTTTTTTTTTTTGTTTTTGTTTTTGTTTTTTTGCATGCTTAGTTTTATCGTCTGCATTCGCATTTCGCTTAAAACGTATCATAAGTCGAGACGACATTTTGAAGGAACGAGTTAGGCCGACTCGTGTCAAGTCGTGAGGTCCCCCCCTCCCCTTCCCCTCCCACACATCCTTTCACGCGGCAGAAGTTTGTTCACGATTAGACTTCCGTGAGTATAGTAAGAATTCCGATGGGGATAGTCCATAAATTTCAGTTTACTATCCTGATCTGAAATAGCGCGACTTGTTCAGTATTTTATTATCTTGTGGAATTTGGATCCTGCTATTCTCATTATTAGATATCCTGTGTATTGTCATTATATAAAGATTGAAACACCTCGCTTCTGCCCCGTCCAAACGCGGAATGTCTGTTGACCAAACACGATCAAACATTGTTTGGTGACCAAACATATGTTGACGTTGTACTGAGTGGCCAAATAGAATCAAACATGTTTGATCAAAGACCAAACGGACAAAATGTTTACCCATCAAATGTTTGTCGACGTTCAACTTTATCCAACACGATTAAACACACGGTCAATCACGATCACGCAAGGTGTCCAAGCGGGACAATGATTGGTAACCAAACAATGTTTGATCGTGTTTCCAAACGTTTCTCGTTTCGGCTGGGTTTAAGACGGCTGTAGTTAAACTTATAACAGGTAGAGACAACAGAGACATCGGGCGACCAGAAAAATATCCTACCGCCCTTCAGTTTCAGCTTTTATTCTTTATTTTGCGTCAGTCCCAATCGATCAGCCTCTCTGAATGCCAATTTATTCGTTATCTGTCTTTCAGAGGGTTAAATAATTTATATGCTGGAGGCTCAAGAAAGTGAATTCTAAATTAGAGTCAATCTTAAATTGTAAATCTTTTTTGTCAGGAATGTTATTTAGAAGCTAGAATCACTTGAAAACTACATTTCAAAATAACAACACCTTATAAATTGGCTAACACTTGAATGAAACATTGTCTTTCATTTAATTATTTCTTACTGTAATTTGATTAAATTGTCGTTGTGTGGCTTATACAGCAGTTGGAGACTTGAGTATTTGAGTAGAAAGATTTCAAAGACAGCAAAAGCCTTTTTTTATCAATTATTATTTTGAATTTCGGCTTTGTTAAATCACAATTCAAAATTTGTTTACGTAGTATTGTTACCGCAGCTGTGAAATTCACCCAGAATTGGGTCAATACTGTTAATTATTAACGAGCGGATATCTCAGAATCCATTCTGTGAAAGGACAGCTCTTTAATAGTAAAGTAGGGTTCAGTAATATTCAATAAACCACTCCAGAATAATGTTTTTCATAAAGGAAAAAACAACAATCTTCAGTCTGTAGAATCTTCTTAAATAGATTAAGGTTTATTTCTCCGAAAAAAAACTCTGCTTTGTTTACTTTCTTACGCGTTCACACAATTATTCATTGAAATTTTAATATTTTATCATATGCGGTTCTTGGCGCTTAAAAGGAATGGAGAAGTGGATTGATTTGTTAACACAAAAGGCATCGAATGTTAATATGTTCCTTTCTCCGTGTAAAAGAAACAAAAATATCAACTAAAAAACTGAATGAATAAATATGGAATCTATCTCAGTTGACTTCGAAAGAACTTTGCAAAAAAATAAAACTTACAAAGAAATTTTCCTTTCCGACAAAATACAAAAATAAAATCATTGTTCCAAAATATACTCGAATTTATTATTATTATTATTTTTTTGCATTAATAATATATATCGGTCAATTGAGTTTCTTTTACGCAGAAGAAAAATGTGTGTCTTTTTAAATAAAATTAACGCCATATTGTTTTGCCATAACCTTCCTACATTGTTAAAAAAATTATTAGTTTTTGGAAATTGTCAAATTCCCCGTTGACGTTAAACTTTCAGGCAAACAACTGAAGTGTATTAGATTATTTCTTAAGGTGTATTAACTTCACATCTGCCAGTATAAACGAAGAAACAAAATTTGAGATTTTTGTACGGGGAAACTTACAAGAAAACAAGGAATTGAATCAGAGACTTTCCACTTTTTAAATTAAAACCGCACCTCAAAACCAGATCTGACGTATGCGACGATTTATCTTATTTACAAAGGCAAATCTTTTCCATTTTGGATTCCTTTTTTTCGAAACATTTTTAGTTACGGCAACTTTGATGCGAAAGTAATAACTAGAAATTCCTAAGTGAAAGAACTGAAACTCGAGAGTAGAGTAGAAATCGAAAAGCAGTACTTTTACGGTCGAAAATTCGTTTCTGTTGAAAATCTAATATTTCAGCCTTGATATATAGATAAGGTCAAAATTTGCCATGGCTATGTTTCAAATCAATATTTTTATGTTTCGAATTTCAGTAATGAGCATTTCTATTAGTTCTACGCATAATAACCGAAGGGGAAAGATTTCCCAGATGGTTTCAAAAATTTTGCATGGGCAGGTTGCATATGACATGTCAATTTAAATCTTGTTACTGAGACATTTTTTTTTTTTTAGCTGTTGATTGTTGTTATAGAAAAGTCGATTGAATATTGGATTAAAAAGTCCCATCGGACAAGTCACTAGAACTGAATTTAGTTTCTTTGCTAGTCTCTTATAACAGAGAATGGATTCTCCAGTTGAGTTAAAAATAAACAGTAATTTAATGTTATTTCAATAATCCTTACCTTGAATCAAGTTTAAAACATTCCAAGCTGCTTGCAAAGCTGACGTATTTTGTGATTTTTCTGCTTCTTGGCTGTTTCTTGTCATTTCCTCACTCGGATAAACTATATCCTCCTCGCCGCTATCTTCCTGATTTTCAACATGGAGGTATTCTTTACTGCCATGGTGAGCTGCATTTCCCTTTTCAAATAGGGAAGAAGGGAAAATGTTCCGCACAAAATCTTTAATAGCCTTTGCCATAACTGGGCCTTTTGATATCAAGAAGAATGACTTTGTATTCGAGACACCACTCGTGTGTGTGATATTCCAAGTTCTTCTGTCAAGTCATCTCCGTTGGCGCTAGAAAACTTTGATTCATTAAACATTCAAGCAATCCTCCCTGTCGAAGGTGGGTCAGCGGCTACAACCATCTGGGCTTGACCTGTGACAAGCCAGCCATATTCAATATATTCAATGATTAATCTCGTCTGGGTGTTGAAACCACGTTTTTCCCCTCTATGCACCTCCAAAGGTGTTCACATTACTATAATCAAACTTATATCTTATGTTAAGCATCCACGACTCTCCAAACTTGGTTATGTTACTAAAAGTTATTTGAAAGGCCTGTCGTTTTCAGATGGATAAAAATACGTCGATGGTTTTGGGAACCATAAACAGGTCACCAACGCCGGAGAAATTTGAAAACGCACCTATTATTTCTACGGTTAGGCCTACCTTCCACACTAATCCGTCACGAAAACAGAGCTTTTCGAAAAACTCTTTTCAAACCGGAAGAATCAGAGAAAAAGAAGAATTCTAGCTAAACTTCCTTCAAATAACGATTTCCAATCATTTCTTAACTTAATATCCTGCAGGCTTCAGGAACTTTATAGCGTGGATTGAAGTGTTATTTGAAACTTGCACTTATCGGTTCAATGAAAAGTTTTGTGGTTTTTTAAGTCGCATAACCGTCAGTTTCTTTTCTTTAATTACGTTTCTTGAGAATTTAATTATTCAGTGATATTTCTAAATCTGTCTCGAAACAGCAGAGAAGCTAGAAACGTTGCCATTATGTGAACAACCTCTGGCCACTTCACTCTAATCAAACAATAGAGAGCTTCTCGGGCAGATATGCTAGTTTTAAAAACATCAAATTTCCAAGGGGCAACTATCAGACTGATAGCTCCGAGATGCAAAAACTCTATTGTCGACTTCATTGTTCACTATTAAATTTTCTTCCGTGCGCCAGTTGAAAAATCACATTGAACTGATTATTTTCAACTTTTTTTAGAAAGCCGTGAAAAGCCAAATGTAAAATTTGAAAGATTTTTCACGGACGAGTACAATCCACCCGGGTATTTTTCCTCGGACGGGCATTATGGGCTGATAGTGTCTCTCCGCTGATGAACACTATCGCGTCACGTGATCAACTTAAACCAATAAGAATCGGAGAAAATTTAGTGGTGAACTATAATGGCTGATAGTGTGTAAATGCTCGCTGATAGTGTGCAATGGCTCAGCCAATCAGATTACAGCAATTGTACTAGTGTTCAAGTAGAATTCTACTAAAACTCGCTAGAATACACAGAACTGCTCTAGCACGAGTTGTTGACGTACGTAATGATGGCGCGAGCAAAGAGAATTTTCATTTTGATGATCAAAGTAAACAAGTTGTTTTCTTTCATATCAAGGCATGTGCTCTACCAAATACAGGGTTATCTCTCAAGATGCCCTCAAGTGCAAACTTTGCTAAATCATTTGAATAATTAAGTTAGTTAAATTGGCTGTCTACAGGTACCTGGTACGACCTTCACTATACCGGAAAGTCACGTGAGAACGAGGCTTTGACATAATTTGCATTATGTCTGGTCATAATGGCTGCTTTTTTTTCGTCCCAGAATTTTCTAAAAGAAATAGAAAACATGTTCTGCGTGTTTCTATCGAGTATTATAGTTCACCACTAAATTTTCTCCGATTCTTATTGGTTTAAATCGATCACGTGACGCGATAGTGTTTATCCGTGGAGACACACTATCAGCCCATAGTGCCCGTCCGAGGAAAATACCCGGATGGATAGTACTCGTCCGTGTAAATGTTTCTGTAAAGAAGCAGGCTTACAGAAAGTAAACAATTGAAATGTATTAAGTGGGTTTTTGTCTGTTTTCCTTTTCAAATTTTACATTTGGCTTTAACGACCTTTCACGGCTTTCATCTAAAAAAGTTGAAAATAATTCACAATGAATGTTGAACTGGCGCGCGTAAGAAAATTTAGTGGTGAACGATAAAGACAATAGAGTGTTTATGTCTCGGAACTATCGGTCTGATAGTTGTCCCTTGGAATTTTGATGTTCTTAAAACTAGCATATTTGCCCTCGAAGCTTCGCTTCTCGGGCAAATATTTGTTTTAAGAACATCAAATTTCCGCAGGGCAACTATCAACCGATAGTTCCTCGACAGAAACACTCTATTGTTTAAATAGAAGCACGAGTTGAAGTTTGGAAGAATTCGATCGGAAAAGCTATGGAAACACTCGCCTGTCGGATCGTTTCCCATAGCATTTCTCGTTAATTCTCCCTAACTTCCACTAGCTCATGTTTCTATAACTCCATTAAAACACAGCACCTGTTTTCCGAGTATCAAATAGCAAATCCTGTCTCATAGACGAAGGATGGCCGAATGAAAGAAATGTTAAAGAAAATTCGCTTAACATTGATTGCGATTCAAGGTAAAGCCAATTAAAACATGCATCTAGAACGTCGAAGTCCAAAGTTTATGAGGCGAGCGGCGTTCAGGTAAGTAGTATTCACCCAAAAGCGTAATTTGAATATAATTTTCATTAATTGACTTACCTGTCTTTTACAAATAACATTCAAAGAAATTCACCAAGAAGCACCTCAACAAACCGAATCGATTCTCCACTCGCGGAATCAAACAGAAAATCTTTTTCTAGCTTTTTCTTGGTTTCCAGCCGTAACAGAAGAAGAAATTGTAGCAGTCTACTAAGTGGCCGTCCCTTCTAAAACAAAGAAATCTTCCAAATTCGCCTTAGCCGCATTTACAAATACGATTTTAGTATTTTTATTCCTGACGTTTCGGCGAAAACCGACTCGAAATTATTTGTTTACGATTGCAATTTAGAACAACTTTGACAAGGCAACCCAAGTGTACGTTATTGGTAAGAGATTAGCGAAATTTAAACAGTGGAATCTATGAAATCTCTCACAGCATAGTTTCAAATCAGGAAGAATCTACAACTACTATTGAAGATATCTCGCCGGAGCAACTAGACAATCTCTTATCGCAATTTGGTAATTCACTTTTGTGTGAATCTTCTGGTCTCTTTACCTGGTATTTTCCAGAAAACGTTATGCAGACTGAACTAAGCCAATCGATCACAGGAGATCCGAACACTACATCAGCGGTAAAAATAAATGTACTGTTATTTACCTGTGTTCCTGTGTCTTTTTTAGTCGTTTAGAAGAGATTTGAATGAGGCGAAGACCGTTTTCATTTCGAATATTGTCTTGTCTGACGCTTTGTAAATGTGACGCTCCGATAACGTCTCAACAGTCCGGAATATCCCGATAAATCAGGACATCTGTGATGTCACGAAACTCACGTTTCAACCAATGAGAATGCGTGTTTTGATTGGAGTGTTGTGTTTCACAACAAACCAAGATTCAAGATGGCGGAAAAAGAGAGTCGCGAATACTTTCCAATGCCATGAATGCGGGCCTTCAGAAGGATTATATTTATCTCGAATTGAGTTAAATGCTGTCCAAATTATAAAATAAAAGGAAAGTTTGTGTTCGCGTTCCATGTCACAGACAATTCTGCCCAG